ATTGCTAAAGGAAGGGGTCACTGCCACAGGAGGCCTTGGGATACTGATTACTAGATTTAAAAATGCTAGCTCTGAAACAGGAATTATGAGAGGAGAGGATGAAACCCATACACACCAAATTAAGCAAGTTTTGTGGAGTAGGAGGAAACAAAGGATAAATAGCAGGTATTTACCTGAATAGTATCTAAATAGTGGGAGGGAGGAAGACAGATAGGCAGGCAGGCAGGGAGGGTAGGCAGTTCTTTTAGATGTCCCTCTTGTTTGGCTTGGTTCTATCAGCAAAGAATTAGAAGAGAGGTTGCAAACACCTTAGCAACATGTGTAGCTCATAATAAGAACATCCTAATGTAGATATACTCCATGAAATAGTAAAAGAGCTAGACAGTGTTATATGCCTGTAATTCCAGCACTCTGGAAGGCTGAGGCAGGAGGGTAAGTTCAAGCTCAGCCTGGGTAACTTATTAACTCATCTAGACCCACTCTCAAAATCACAAGCAAGGTCAGTGCAAAGGCCCTAGGGTTTAATCCCCAACACAAAAACAAAAATTTTTTTAAAAAAGCTATAAAACCTTAAACAAAAATCCTATTTCCGTTTAATGAAAATAAGATTTTAATTAAGGTCATACAAATCATGTTCCAAATCCTACCTAGCCCACAGGTCTAGCTGAACCAACCCCCTTAACAATGAAGCTAAGAGTAACATTTAATCTCCAGTACCACCACCAAAAAAAAAAAAAAAAAGTACTCTAGCCCAAACAGACATCGTCAGCCTGCTTTATGGACCTCTGTAAAATTTTTAGTCTGTACCAAAAACTCTAGAACTTTGGTATTCTGTTTGACCATAATACTCTACTTGAAATGTGTTTGTGCACAAACACGTACATAACCAGAAAAGACTGCAAAGTCAGTAAGATTAACTTCTACAAGATCACTGGTCACTTACCAGTCTTTTTAAATAATTATTATCCACAGCAACACTAGAACAACTTTGGGTATCTTAGTTATCATAATGTTGCTGGGACAAAATATGGTACCTGACACACACAACTTAAAAGGAGAAAAGGTTTCTTTTGGTTCACAGTTTCAGAGGTTCTGGTCCCTGATTGGCTGGCTTGAAAGCAGAAACCTTTTGGTGCAAGGATATGGTGGTGCTCATGTCAGGAAGCAGAAAGGGAAAAGGAAAAAGCTAGAGAGAAAGAAAGGGGAAGAGATGGTGAAAAAGAGAAAGAGGGAGAGAGACCCTTCAAAGACACATGATCTACCTCTTCCAGTTGGGCCACTCTCCAGTTCAGCCCCACTTCCTAAAAGTCCATTCAGTTACAAACTTCATCAGTGGACTGACCATGAGATTAGGGGTCTCATGATCCAACTGCCTTTCAAAAGCCCCACCTCTGAACCTGTGAGACTTTGGGGATGGTATTTAGATCCAAACCACAACACTGGCTCATATTAATTCATATAGATTTTATGAATTGTAGATGATGGTGGTGGTCCTGATACTTGGACAGATCAAATTTGAACTCAGAGGAAAAGCAATGATACATTCAGGCATTTCTGGGAAAGATGAAGAATTGCTGTTCAGAAGACTCAGGTAAGAATATTATTCCCTTTATGGCAGATTAGTGTAATCCACTATGTGTAAATACCACATAAACTTGAATCATTTGTAGGAAAACGGATGCATGTTGAGACCAGAATGTTAAGTGAAATAAATCAGACACACAAGCTTAAATATCACACAGCTGCTCTTCTATGAGAAACCCAAATTATAAATAAAGAACAAAATAAAACATAATAATAGGAAGTAGGGAGACAAGAGCTTTCTCACATGGGAAAGAAATCAAGAGAAGAATGGGAAGAAAGGGGGACGAAAAAAGGAATTAAGATGTGTTATGTACATGTACCAACTCCACACAAGAAACATAAACATTATGTACTGCAAACATGTACTAATAAAATCAGTTTTAAAGATTCCTATCCTCAAATGGGGATATTTCTTTTCATAGCAAAAGAGAAGAATTGTTATCTTTTAAAGGTTACTCCCTTCTGTTCTTTATCCTTCCTCATTCAGAAATAAAGTGGAGTCTTAAACTGATTTCATGCTCTTTGCTTTGAAATCATCTCAGCTGTTATACATAACACTCAATCAGCCTCCATTCTAACCCATGGCCTCTACCCACATATGCACACTCAAATACCAAAAATGAGTTGTATGGGAACAGTTGTGAAAGATTATTTCCTCTTTACATACTTGATGGAATTCACTATCTAGGTCTGTAATTTTCTTTGTGGGAAAAATTTTTACTTATTCAAAGTTTTTATTTGCTATTTAGACGGTTTTGAATTAAAATAGATTTACTGGTCTTTCTAAAATTTCTCCATTTCTACAAAATTGTCTGATTTGATGGTATAAACCTATAGTACTCTCTTAAAATCTTAATTTCTGTACTGCCATTGGTGATGTCCTTTCCTTCATTATTTTGATAATTAGGTCTACTTTTTTCTTTCCTTCAATCTAAGTGATATTTGTCATTTTTCTTGATCTTTCCAAAAAGTAACTTTTGGCTTAATGGATTTTTGTATTGTTTTGATTTCTATTTCATTAATTTCCATTCTAACATTTATTATTCCATAATTTCTGTTGGCTTTGCCCTTTTTTTTAGTTTTTTTTAGTGTAGAGGTTTAAATTATCAACTAGAATCTAATTAAGTGCTTATGTCTATAAGTTATATTGATATGTCACACAGCCAACAATAATTACTTTTATAGAATCTTAAAGAAGAAAAAAAAATACTTTTTAAATAATTTATCTTCTCTAGTATTCATGTCTTTGTGTACATTCATTTTACCATCTTGTATCATTTACTTTTGGCCTAAAGAACATCCTTCAGTTTTTCTTTTAAGGTAAATTTGCTTAGCAGCAAATTCCCTGAGTCGGCCTTTGTCTTTGTTTTGAAAAATAACTTTGTTGGAAAAGTATGTACTAAGTTTTTCCTACTTTTTTCTCTTTCTGCACTTTGCATAATACTGTGTCTGGCTTCTATTGCCTCTGATATGACCTGTTTTTCGCTTGTTGCATTTACAATTTTCTCTGTCTTTTAATAGTTCTAATAAAATGTGTCCAGCTGTCAATTTCTTTGTGTTTATACTAATTCTAATTAATTGAGCTTTTTGTCAGTAACCAACACTTCTAAATTTTGGAAGTATTTAGCAATTATTTCTTCATGTGTTATTTCAATTTCTTTTTTTTCTTTCTTCCTTCTCCTGGGGCTGCCATTACATATACAGTAGTATGCGTGAAGTCATCTATGTGTCTCAAACAACTCCCCTTTTTATTATTAGTGTTTACACACTTTTCTTCATATTGGTAATTTCAGATTTCTCTCCAGACTGTTTCTGTTGACAACTTAAGTACTACCATGAGTGCCTTAAGTCAAATTTTCACGTCAGTTATTTTCCTTTAGAACCTATTAGAATTTCTATTTGATTCTTTTTAATAGTTGGTCTTTGTTATGATTCGGTATTTTTTGAGTTATTGTCATTATATTTTCCTTTAACTTTTTAAAACATGGTTTCCTTTATTCTTATAATACTTGCTTTGAAGCTAAGTCTGCTAAGTTCAAAATCTAATAGGGACTGAGATACATAATGGATGTTGGGAAATGGGAAGAGAAGTGTTCAAATGGGAAGGGGAACAAGGAAGGAGGGAGGTAGAAAGGAAGGAAGTGACAAGAAAAAAAAGTGAAAATAGAAGGAAAAAATGGAAACAAAGCTTTTGTACATGGGGAGGGGAGGGGGCGTGACGGGGGAATGGGATAAAATAAAATTTATTTTAAAAAATTCAAAATCTAGAGAAATTACTAGTCATTGTTTTGATTACTGATTATGCTTTCCCCTTCTTTGCATATTTTGGCTGAAACTAGAAATTCTGAAATATATTTAACAGCCATAGATTTTTCTGTAGGGTTATTATAGTTGCCATTATTTTGTTTAACAATCACCTAGACCAGTGATGGTGAACCTTTTAGAGACCGAGTGCCAAACTGCAACTCAAAACCCCACTTATCACAAAGTGCCAACACTGCAATTAAACCCTAATACTGACACTTTAGTTTAGAAAAAATAACTCTACATTACCATGTTTTGTCTTAAAAGAAGAACACAATAACACATATGCCATAGGTTCGCCACCACTGGCCTATTCTAAATCTGTTTCTCTAGGGTGTTCGGCTATTTTTATCTCTAATCAGAGTTTTCGGTTTTGTTTTTCAATTCTTTTTTTTTTTTTCCTAAGTTTGGACTGTTCCTGTGTTTGCACAGCTTAGTATTAAGCCAATGACTAGTCAGAGTGTGTACATAAATGTCTCAAGTCTGTAAGAAGTCCGCTCTCTGTTAATATATATATGAAAGTCTAAATCTATCTTGCCTTTTCTTTTTCTTTTCCGTGCTGGTCCTCTTGTGTTCCCTCTGTGTTTGAACATAGGTTCACAGTTAGGTAAGGATGAGTAGATAGCTTGGAGCCTCTCAGGTCTCTCCTGAACAGACTTGTGGATAATTTATCTAAGCCACTTATGGCTGTTTTAGTTCCTTGATCACAAATATTTGAGTAGTCTTCTGGTTCATTGCTTGCCCCAAATCAGGCAAAATCCTCAGTTTAGCCAAGTCAATGGCTTTCCCATTATCAGCACTACTGTTGCTGATAAGCTCCTGAGGTTGGACATCTGGCTGATCCTCTGTCAAGGAAGCCGATTTTCCCAGCTTGCCCTGCTACCAGGTATAGGATAAGAATGGCAGCAACTCCAGGTAAAAAGACTATCAACTCTGACTGTTCTTACACAAGTTCATGAGTGTTTCATGAGTAATCACTTTTTAACTTGCTAAGTACTTTTGGTCAATTTCCAAAACCCTAAAATGGTTACATTTGACAATTTTATCTAGTTTTATCACTCCTTTTGCAGAGGATTTGGTGAGCTGCTCCCTTCCCTGTGGAGAGGCAACAGCTCTGTAAGTATTAAGGTGGACAACTTGGATTTCCTATGAAAGGGTTAAGTGAAATATTATAGAACTTGCTGCCCAGCTCTGAAGAAGTTAGGTGTAGGAGAAAGTGATAAGAACAACACAAGGACACGGAACTAGGGAAAAGAAAACACGGGACTGTCTCAAGGCCTGGGGACTTTCCAGATGTGCCTTATGTAAGATGTTTTCTATTCCTGAGTGCTATAAAAGAGAGCAGTAAAGTCAACAAAGTAGCTCGGATGCTGGGAGCTCCCCCAACTCTGTCTCTTTGCCTTTCTTTTTCTTCATCCTCACTCCCCCATTCAGGTACTGTTCAACAAGTGACAGCGGGCTCCGTCACGGGTGGCGCCCGAACAGGGACCTGAGTACGGGGGATCAGAAGTGAAGGACGCCGCGGTTTTGTGGGCCGGAGGAGGTAAGGGCGGCGCAATACTCGGGGGTTAATACGGGTCAGGGAAGTAGTCGAATGCTTTTTGTGCAGACCCTGAAAAATTTACTGCACGCCCGAGGTACTCGGATTGGGCAACAGCAGCTATGTAACTTTTTAGAGTTTGTAGAGAAGGTCGGTCCTTGGTTTCCCGAGGAGGGCACAGTTAGTTTAGAATTGTGGAATAAAGTAGGGAAAAAACTCCAGGATTATTATGAAGGCCATGGTTCTACCGAAGTTCCAATAGATACTTTTAGTCTGTGGGCTCTGATGAGAGACAGTCTAGATCCTCGGCATGAGGGAGATCGAATGGGACCGGGAAAGGAAGAATCCGTGCCTGCTCCCTTAGCGGACTCTGGGGTCCAGACCTATGCTGCGCCCCCCGAGGAATCCGAGGGATGTCTTGAGCCTTCTTGCCCCCCTATCATGAATTCCTTTCTGGGGAGCGAGCCATTGGACCCAGGAGATGCTGAATCATTGGAGGAAAAGGTTGCAAAGTATAATAATGAGGAATGGCCTCCCGCACCAGTGGTGGCCGCTGCGGCCCCTGTTCAGTCCCTTGAAGATCAGGGAGTGGCAAAACGGTTTGATCTGCTGGAAAAAAGGCTTGATAAATTAACCCATTGTTGGGAGGAATTGATGATATCCAAAGTTTTGCCTCCCCCCGTGGCCCCCTCGGATCCTTCCCCCCCCAGATACTCTGAGCCGATCAGAGTCATGGATCCCTTTGTTGCATTGACGCAGAAACCCACTAATTTGCGGTTCCTGTTTTGCCCGACCACGGCCTTGTCCCCAGTTCAGGCCAGTTTGACCCGTGCGGCAGAACAGGGGGAAAACCTCCAGGGGTTTCAATTGACCTGCCCAGTTTTTGATACCGTAGATGCCCAAGGTCAGGCGATTCGTGCCCATCATCCCATTCCTTTTCAACAATTAAAAGAGTTGAAAATGGCACGTGCTCAGTATGGCCCTACTGCCCCGTTTACCCAGGCCATGCTAGAATCCTTGTGTACAGATGCCTTGCCCCTAGGGGATTGGAAACAGATCGCCAAGGCCTGCCTTTCGGGAGGCGATTTTCTCCTTGGAAATCAGAGTATGCAGATCAGTGCCAAAAAACTGCTGAAATAAATCGAGCCAACAGAAATAATATTGATTATGATATGCTGGCAGGAGAAGGGCACTATGCGGATATCGCTAACCAACTAAATTTTCATCAGGGAGTCTATGCCCAAATTTATGTTGCAGCCAAGAGGGCATGGCAAAAATTGCCTTCAACGGGTCAACAGACAGAGGATCTATCAAAAATTAGACAGGGACCCGATGAGCCTTTTCAAGATTTTGTGGCTCGCCTTATGCAAACTGCCAGCTGCCTGCTCGGGGATTCCGATGCAGGGCTGCTCTTGGTTAAACAACTGGCTTATGAAAATGCTAATACTGCTTGTCAGGCTGCCTTACGGCCATTCAGAAAAAGGCGCACCACTTCGGATTATATTCGGATGTGTGCTGATATTGGGCCTTCATACACTCAGGGCCTAGCTATGGCCGCGGCCCTGCAGGGAAAATCTGTAAAGTATGTGTTGTTCCAATAATCCTCTAAAAAACGGAGTGCCAGAGTTCCCGGTCCACCGGGAAGTTGTTTCGGTTGTGGGCAAATGGGACATCAGATTAAACAATGCCCCAATCCAGGGCCGGCTGCCCCCGTTCCTCAGAAGAAAAGAGGGGGGGCCCGAATTGTGCCCTCGATGCCGATGAGGCAACCATTGGGCCAATGAATGCAGATCAAAAAGAGATGCCATGGGAAATGTACTCCCGGCGGGAAACGGCCGGCAGGGCCCGCTCCAGGCCCCGAAACAAATGTATGGGGCCCTGCAGAACTTCGTGCCAGCTCAGAAAGGAAATCCATTTCTGACCTCTTCCAAGACACCTCAGGCAGCGCAGGACTGGACCTCTGTTCCTCCACCTTCACAGTATTGACCCCGGAGATGGGGATGCAGGCTTTGCCCACGGGGGTGTGGGGACCTTTGCCTCCAAATACAGTCGGTCTCCTGCTAGGACGTAGCAGTAGCACTATGACAGGCCTTTTGATAGCTCCTGGGGTGATTGATGCAGATTATACTGGTAAACTTAAAATTATGGCACATTCCCCAGGGAGTGTTACTGTTGTGCCTGCTGGACAACGCATAGCCCAGCTGCTTGTTTTACCTCAAGTTCCCTCCCCCATGAAAGCCTTGCAAGCGAAAAGAGGCGATCGAGGATTTGGCTCCTCTGATGCTTATTGGGTACAGAGCATCGGGGCTCATAGACCAGAATTACAATTGATTATAAATGGGAAAAAATTTAAGGGGTTGCTAGATACCAGAGCTGATGTCTCGGTCCTCCGATTAGATCAGTGGCCCTCGACATGGCCCCAGAAAATTACCGTGACACAGTTGCAGGGGATTGGACAAACTCGCGATACCGAGCAAAGCAGCGATATGCTTTCTTGGTCAGATGAGGAAGGACATACAGGGCTTTTCCGGCCTTATGTTATCTCTGGCCTACCTGTTAATTTGTGGGGTCGAGATGTCATGAAAGATATAGGAGTCTATCTTTATAGTCCCAGCACCCAAGTTACGCAGCAGTTAATGGATCAAGGACTTTTACCTCACCAAGGGCTGGGAAGTCGGGGTTGCGAGCCACGGCAAGCCTTGCAGCCTGTGCCCCGCCCCGAACGAAGCGGATTGGGATATTTTTAAAGAGGGCTATTGGTCCCCCTGTACCCCATGCCGACCCCATCACCTGGAAAAGTGATGAGCCCGTGTGGGTAGACCAATGGCCCCTTACCAAGGAAAAGATATTGGCTGCCGAGCAGTTGGTACAGGAACAGCTCGATAAAGGACATATTGTCCCTTCCAATTCCCCCTGGAATTCCCCCATTTTTGTGATCCGGAAAAAATCTGGAAAGTGGAGGCTTTTATAAGACCTTCGCAAGGTTAATCAAACCATGGAACTTATGGGGTGCCTTACAGCCTGGATTGCCGCACCCCTCTGCCATCCCTCAGAACACATATAAGATAATTATAGATTTGCAAGACTGTTTTTATACTATTCCTCTTGCAGCTGCGGATTGTAAGCAGTTTGCCTTCAGTGTGCCATCCATAAATTTTAAAGAGCCAATGAAACGATATCATTGGGTGGTCCTACCTCAAGGAATGGCCAATAGTCCCACCTTATGTCAACAATATGTGGCCCAAGCTGTGGAGAAAGTTAGACAGGCCTATCCTTTAATGTATATCATCCATCCTACTTGCGTCCAAACAAGAAGGATTGTTATTGTCAGCATATGCTCTATTACAGCAAGCTTTGCGAGAGATAGGATTAGTCGTTGCCCAAGAAAAAAATACAAACTTGCCCCCCTTTTCTATATTTGGGATATTCTCTCCATCCCCAGAAAATTCAAACTCAGAAACTTCAATTGCGAAGAAATAAGCTCAAGACCCTGAATGAGTTTCAACGATTGTTAGGAGATATAAATTGGCTTCGTCCTTCCCTAGGGTTAACCACCAGGAAATTGAAACCTTTGTTTGATATCCTTCGCGGGGACCCTGATCCTTGTTCCCCTCGTGAATTGACCCCTGAAGGACGTTTGGCCCTAGGGAAGGTAGAACAAGCCATTGAAAATCAACAGTTGCGTTATATGGATTATTCCCATCCTTGGGCTGCCCATATCCTCGCCACTCCACATACTCCTACTGCCGTCTTACGGCAAGAAGGACCGCTTCTGTGGATTCACCTGCCTGTTTCCCCAGCAAAAGTGATCGTGCCTTATTTTGAAGCTGTGGCCCAGTTCGTATGTTTGAGTAGAAATGAAGCCAAAAAATATTTTGGACAAGAACCCCCTCTTTTTATCCTTCCCTATGATAAAAAACAAATTGATTGGTTATTTCAAAATGTGGATTGTTGGGCCATAGCTTTTACAGGGCATAGAGGAGAGATTAATAATCATCTGCCCAAACATAAAATATTACAATTTGCTGCTGTACATCCCTTTGTTTTTCCTCGTGTTGTTTTAATGACTCCTATAGCTCAGGCTTCCTTGGTGTTCACTGATAGATCCTCCAACGGTCGAACGGTTTATGTTATCAATGATAAAATACATCGCTTTTCCGTTAATTCAACGTCAGCACAGATTGTGGAGTTGTCTGCAGTGGCACAAATTTTTGATCTTTTAGCTACCCAACCATTCAATTTACATGCTGATAGTATATTGCCCAAACAGTCCCTTTGCTAGAGACTGCTGATCAGATCATGAGCACACAAAAAAGGGTGCTGACCCTATTTCGACAAATTCAAGTTTCCCTTTGTTCCCGAAAGTTCCCTTGTTATACTGGACATATTCATACACATTCTGGCCTCCCTGGCCCTCTTGCCAAAGAGAATGATATTGCTGATCGAGCTATGCAGTACATAGCCCTTAGTCAACTGGACTTGGCTCAGCATTCTCATGCTTTACACCACCAAAATAGTTGTAGCTTGCGAAAGCAATTTCATATTACCCGTGAGGCTGCACGACAAATAGTTAAACAATGCCCCACCTGTCCCATACATCATTCTGTTCCCTATTATGGAGTTAACCCCAGAGGCTTAATGACAAATCAGTTATGGCAGATGGATGTCACCCATGTAGCGACGTTCGGAAGACAACGGTATGTACATGTTTGTGTTGATACGTTCTCGGGTTTTATCATGGCGACGGCCCAAGGTGGAGAGGCCGCCAAGTATGTCATAGCCCATTGTCTTACATGCTTTGCTGTAGTGGGGCTTCCTAAAATTATTAAGACTGATAATGGCTCAGGCTATATCAGTAAAGCCTTTCAAGTCTTTTGCAATGAATTAGGAATTGTTCATAAAACAGGTATCCCATATAATCTCCAAGGTCAAGGTATTGTCGAGAGAGCTCATGGGGCTCTTAAAGTACAATTACAAAAAATAAAAAAGGGGGAGCTATATCCCTTATCACCACAAAATTATCTACATCATGCTCTTTTCATTCTAAATTTCCTAACGGTGGATGCCCAGGGAGTGACAGCGGCCGAACGTCTGTGGCATCCCCAGATTAAAACATCCTATGCTCAAGTTCGGTGGAAAGACCCCCTCACTGGACTCTGGAATGGCCCCGACCCGGTATTAATATGGGGATGAGGGCATGTCTGTGTTTTCCCACAGGATGCCAATGGCGCCCACTGGCTCCCAGAGAGATTGGTCCGGCATGCAGATACGCCTCCACTCCCTCCAAGTGTGCCTGAGGATCCTCCTGCTGACGAATCATCATGAATCAAGCCTGGGAGAGCTTTTCTGGACCTATGTGCTGGATCCTCCCATGGCCCACCCACACAGTTGGGAAGATGGAGGGGTGATGGTTTGGGTCAATGATACACGATGGCTTGGCAAACCAGCTCTCGCTCGTGGCGAGAATCCGGAGCAGAAGGGGATCAATTATACTGGGGTGGGGGTAGGAACACCCATATGTTTTTCCCATAATCATTCATCTTTTGGATGTTTGACGCTGGGCCCCCAACTCTTGGTGGAAAAGGGACGAGATGATTGCCCCTCGGTGATCCATGATGTATTTCTTGTCATGCCTGTTGGATCCGAGGCCGATGGTACTGTCCCCCAAGAGTATCCCCCATGTGGCCAAGGACAATGTATCAATGAGACTGTGCCCTGGGAAAGGTGCATGGGAAATACCCTCCGACGCTACAATATCACCGGCTTCACCACATATATCTTGGATTGGTCCGCCTCCCGCCTTGCGTTGAATGAGCCTTCCTCACCATCCCCAGAGGGGCCGATACGCCCGGTCTCTGCTGGACTTTGGTGGACATATACAGGATATTCCCAACCTTATATTTGGAAAATAGCAGCGGCCTTTGCACAGCTCGATGGGAAAACTGGGAGTGGTAGGGGGCAAATGTTGTCAAGAAATGTCACCGTGTCCGACGGCCGTTGATGTTATTGCTGGGGGAGCTTGATGTCATCAATGTTTCTGCTTCTGAATTGTATAATGTTTCTTGTATTAATTGTAAATTGAGTAATTATATAGCCTCTCCTCTACCCGATGGAACCCGTGTCATGGTTCTCAAACATCCCGGGTTTGTTATGATGCCGGTTAATATTACCGAACCCTGGTATTCCAGTCAAAGAGTACAGGTTTTGGAAGAATTGAGGCAGGCCCTTCGAAGATTTCGTAGAGGAGCAGGATTGATTGTTGCAGGCATTGCTGCCCTGATAGTTCTCATTGCTTCCTCAATAACTGCTGCGGCTGCCTTAGCAACCTCTGTACAAACCGCACATTTTGTGAATCAGTTGTCTGAAAATGCCACCCTGGCTTTAGAAACGCAAGAAGATATAGATATAAGATTAGAACATAAATTGAATGCTCTCTATTCTGTAGTTCTTCATTTGGGAGATGAGCTACAGATTTTAAAATTAAAGTATAGGTTGCAGTGTCATGTTAATTATCATTGGATATGTATAACTTGAAAAAAATATAATATTTCTAAATATGATTGGGATAAAGTTAGATTACATTTGCAGGTAGTGTGGCACCATGCCAATTTGTCATTAGATCTCCTTCGTTTACATCAGAAAATTGTTGATTTACAAGAGGCGGAGCCCCTCCAATTTGATGCCGCCGAGTATGCAAGTGATCTTTTGGGGCAGTTAAAGAGCAGTTTGCCCTCGTTGATGGGGATCCCCCACTTGCTTGTTAGCTTGCCAGTGTTGGGAGGGATCGTACTCCTAGTCTGCCTTCTTGCTCCTTATTTGCTTAAGATAGTGGTCCAAGTTCTCTCCCGAGCCTTCGGAGAAATCCATGATCTTCGGCTTCGTGCATTGCCCCCTCGCCCGGTCATTTAAAGGAGGCCGGTAGTCAAGGACAGGTAAGAGAGGGCCTAGGAAACTACCAACCTAAGACAGAGCAAGGAGGGCATAAGTCCCCTTGTCTCCATGACGGGTAAGGAGTTTCTCTGAGGCCTCCTGCCTAAGACAGGCACGGTCATCCATTCACCGCTTCTTTATATATAAAGAAAGGGGGAGATGTGGAGAGCCAACAGCTCTATAAGTATTAGGGTGGACAACTTGGATTTCCTATGAAAGGGTTAAGTGAAATATTATAGAACTTGCTGCCCAGCTCTGAAGAAGTTAGGTGTAGGAGAAAGTGATA